AATCAACCCACTTTAAACTCACGACTCAACATGATTCTGAAAGGATTTGCGGCTGGGAGATGAAGAGGTTGTCTTTCGTTCATTGAACACACATGTACTGAGGGTATACTGTGTGTGAGTCACTGTTCAGTTCACTTGGGGTGCACGAGTGAACAGACCAGACAAGGCTCCTGCTCCTGGAGGGCTTTTATTCTGGTGGTAGGGAGAGAGAATGAGTTGTTATTGCACTAAGAAAATGACATCAAATGACCTAAGGCAAAAAAATTTAAAAAGGAGCAGGGTAAGGGGCTGCTGATGTCCAGAAGGAGGGAGGGCTGTGGTTAGAACACTATTTTAGAGTGCTCAGAGAGGGCCTCGGGGAGGCAGCCCTGGAGCAAAGGCAAAAAGGGAGTAGTAGCTTGTCTGGTGAATGCACACAGATGTCTCTTACTTTGTAGGCGTTTTACGCTGGCTCTTCAATTACGCGATTAAGGTAATTTTTTGGTTGGACTCCATCTTTGTCTAAATGACCCCCCAGCCAGCAACTCCTGCTGGCCCTTGGCAAAATCTCGTGCAAGAGTCAGGGGTGTGATGGCCCCTCTGTCTCTGCCTTTCTTTTCCCCGGGAGGGAGGGATGGTCAGGCCTCAGCATCTCACTCTGTCTCCTCCAGGGTTGAGTTTGGGGACTTGACTTCCTGCCCTGGCCTGTCCTCGTCCTCATCCTCCCCTTCTCATGCTGGATGTAGGCAATGCTCCCCTTGTTCCCTAAAAACACCTACTAGGCTGCCTTCTCATTTTATTTGGGATTTAGGTAGAGATCGGATGCCAAAATATGATACTCCTCTTTATGCCAACGAAGAGAAGAAAATAGCCAAATGAACAAACCAGCAAACAGACAGAAATAGGCCCATCTATACATTGAAAAACCTCTGCCGTGTGAAATTCCCTAACAGCTGTGAGATGGGCCGTTCCACCAGGCAGGTCCTGTGTCCACACAGCTTTCCTCTTCCTCAGTGATCTGCCTCTATTCTCTTTCCTCTCTAGTCTCCATTCGCTCTTTCCTCTGCTCTCCCCTGCTCTTAGCAGGCAATGATGAAAATTCTTTTTGATGTCTCTTCTATATTTGGTCTTAATTTGTAAAAGCAGATACATGGAGTGTCTCGCAGTCTCTTTCTTATGCATAGGTGAACGTGGCCGAAGTTGCCAACCCCATCCTGTGAGAGCCGGCTCTTGGTTCATCCACGAGGCTGTGCGCAGTGCAGTATTGCACTCCCGGCATGCCATCGGCGTTCCACGGGAGCAGCTGGCTGACCTCACAGTCCTTCTGTAACATTCGCAGGCTCTCTGGCAAAGCTAAATTTAAAAAAAAAGCGAGAAAAAAATAATTTTGGTCGGGAGGACTGTCTCTGTTAAATTTAAGAGACTTTCGCCTCTTTTTAAGATGGGGCCTAAATTCGTGTGCTCCATACTTGAAGAAATCCTTTCATTTTTATTTCATTTGATGCTCACAATAACCTCACAGGTTTAGTAAAATAGGTAAAAAGTGATTTATCTCTTTTTTGGTCAGAACCAATGAATGAGCCAATCGATGGCCCTTCACTTCTCCTTTGCTTCCAGTCTCTGCCTCCCTCTCTCCCTTCGCCCTTTCCTCCCCTCATCACTTCTCAAAGGCTTTAAGGCAGCAGGAAGTAGAAAATAAAAATGAGGCCCAGTACTTTCTCCCTTAGGCCTCCTTTCAGGTGAACATGACGCAGTCCCAGGACACCCATGTTCCCCAAGTGAGGTCATGTAGCGCCTTGAGTCTAGGGAACGGCACTTGGGAACCCTGCTGAGCAACGCCAGGACTTTTGTTAGTGGAAGTTTGGGTGAATTATGGTGCCAGAGAAAGGGTTAGGGGAGACCAGGTGACAGCAAACATTCTGGGCTTTGTACACCTCGAGACCATGCTGATTTCAGGGCCGAAGCTCTGCTGTTAGGTTTTGGGGAGAGACCGGGCTGGTCCTGGGGTACTCAGGAGTCTGCATCATCATGCAGATGGTGTGCTGTAGGTAAACCAGCCAGAGTCTCCTGTGCCCCCAGCCTCCCTTTTTGGGCTGTTTTCCCCATTTCTATGGAACGCTCTTCTCTGTGGTCAGGGGCCTAGGAGCCATCTGTCTACAAACCTAGTGTTGAAGAAGAATTGCATGATGCCTTGGTTTATCAGTCAAGAGAGGTGGGCAGCATCCTGCAATTCCCATACTAGACTGATCACTGCTTTCGAGAAGCTGCTTTTGCCTGTGCTCCTCAGCCTTGGTGGAGAAATTGTCTGCATTCACAGTGGCTTGCCTTCACCCCCCACCACTGGAAAAAGTCCTTGTCCTGCCTGTGCCATTAAGAAAGGGGTGACTGGCCGGGCGCGGTGGCTCATGCCTGTAATCCCAGCATTTTGGGAGGCCGAGGCGGGTGGATCATGAGGTCAGAAGATCGAGACCATCCTGGCTAACACAGTGAAATCTCGTCTCTACTGAAAAAAAAAATTACAAAAAATTAGCCAGGCATGGTGGCGGACGCCTGTAGTCCCAGCTACTCGGGAGGCTGAAACAGAATGGCATGAACCCGGGAGGCGGAGCTTGCAGTGAGCCGAGATGGAGCCACTGCACTCCAGCCTGGGCGACAGAGTGAGACTCTGTCTCAAAAAAAAAAAAAAAAAAAAAAGGTCGGGGGACCTTAGGGAAATCCCTTGGCCTTTCTGAGGCAGCTACCGCGGGGAGGGAGCCAGCCTTTCTTGGCAGGAGACCACACGTTCTTCGTGTCTGCACAGACGCACAGGGTGCCTGTCCAGCTCTTTGGGGACTGCCTTGGCAGCACAGGCTGAGTGCAGGGGTCTGCAGCTCGGTGGCATCCTCCAAGGAGAAATGCTACTTTCTCCTTCTTGCAGGCAGCCCCCTCTCTATGCCAGATTATTATGGAGCATTATCTCACTTGGTTTTGAGGGAGAAGCATGCGCTTTCCACTCACATAAGGAGGGGGAGGGAAACGCCTCTTAGCACTTCCAGGCACTCCTCAGAAGGTCAGTGACTGGACTTCAACCTTCCCTTTCATCTCCTTCCTGCCGCCATCCTGGTGTGCTGCTAGAGCCAGCTGTGCCGCCTCTTGTTCAGCTGTGCTGGAGGTAACCAGCACTGCGTGACAGGGTAGGGTGCTTAGCTCCTGTGTGTCCTCAGTTTGGGGCCTTAATCGTCAAATGGCAACAGGAAGTATCCCTTCACACCTGAGGCCCCTTCATCCTATCATGGTTGTGGGCCTTCGCAGCGGCAGCTCCTTGACCTAAATAAAGGCTTTCACTGCGCTTCGTTTCACTGGCTCCTTGTGTGTCTGCCTCACTAGTGTGGAAGCCCCTTGGCAGTGGAGCCCCCATCAGTCCTGTTTGCTGTTGGAGCCTGAATGCCTACCACAAAAGAGAGACTTAATGTTTATGGACAGAACGAATGACTGGTCAGAAAAACGCCTATGATATTTGGCATTATTTAATTTGGAGGTCGTTGGTACCCTTGGGAGAACACCTTCAGTGGTGTGATTGGTGCGGTGGCCAGTGGGGAGCTGAGTGGGGACAGAGCCACTGGGGACTGTTATGCAGACAACACTTCAGACACCAAGTGCTTTAAACTACAGTGTATTAACAGAGTATTTGAGGCATAGCAAGGCCCGCACATCAGAAGACAGTTGTCACTGAAAGACAGTTTGTTACAGTTCCTGAGAGGAAGCAGCACACCACACCACACCACGGGGCCACTTGGGGAAGCACCGGAGTTGGCCGGGAGACAGAGGACCCGGGAGCTGTGGGTGGGGGTCTTCACTGTGGTCTTCCTAGGAAGGAATGGGCAAAGCAGGGTGAGTGGGCTCAGGATTGTCTAGCTTCAATAGTGGTAGCGGGCTCTGGGGCACTGGTACCCTAGGTGTCTACTGCCTGGCCCTGGGTGATTAGGGCAGGACTCTAAGACCCTCACAGGAGGTTGTGGGATGTGGGCTCTGGATTGGGTGGGTTTGTATTTAAAAGGGCATTTTGGGGTGAGTTAATGTCTCTAGGAATTGGCTAATCCTGGAAGGGGCAGTCCCTCCAGGGTCAGCAAGGCCTCAGATGTCAAAGCACCAGAAGACAGAGTTCATATACCACATCGCAACAGGGGAGAGAAAGGGGACGGCAGCTAGCAGAGTGTGGTCACAGGTGGGCATTGCCTGAGTTTTAGCTGGAAGGGATTAAAGCATGCTTCCATGCTTCTGGAATGATCCAACAGAAGAGACCAAAGATACCAGAGGGAAAGGCACTCAGGAAAGGAACAAGGTCCTTGATAGAGAGCAGGGAGGAGCAGGACTGGCCTGCAGGGGAAGGTGCTGGGCAGCCAGGGGCCAGGAGGGAGCTCTCCTGCCCTAGCCTGCATTTCTCAGGAAGTGAGAAGCAGGGTATCAGCTGGAAGGCAGAGGGGCCGTGGGGGTGGCAGAGGAAACCTGCAGAGAAGCAAGCCTGCTGGGGAAGCGCTGAGGATCACTGGCTATGCGGAGTCAGTATGGGGCTGGTGATTATGAATGTGGTTTATCCCGAGTCGTGGATTTTCTAGGAAAGTATGATGGAGAGAGTGGGACAAGGTAGTTGAGGGAGAGGGTGAAATAATACGAGAAACCATGGAATCCAAGGTTGGTGAGCACACGACACAGGATGAGATGCATAAATACAAATACAGTGATAGGTCCAATGGATCCGAGACTTGATGACCGGCTTTTGTGTTGCAGTCAGTGTTGGGTTTCTCTGCTTGAAGAACAGGGGCTTGCAGGCAGATCCTGCTGCTCATAATTTACGGGAACAGCATCTGGTAATGAGTAGGCCCATGGTGTGACTGAAAGTGGTTGGCTCAGGTGGGGTAGAGAAGTTCACTGAAGACATGCTCAGAGAATGAAGAGCCCAGGGCAATGGGCAGATTCCCTGCGGGGAGGGTCCATTCCTAGTAAGAATGACCTGACTTGGAAAGATGGGAAGATGGGGCAGGCGCTAACATTTTCAGCAAATGAGAGCATCTTGAGGATGGGGGATGTCAGCAACGAGAGGGGAGTGGCCAACCCAAAAGGCGCCTGTCTCAGAGGAGCCCTGTGAGGAGGGGGAAACGGCCTGGACCCGGCAGAGAGGCCCGAGGAGCAGCGTGAGGAGCGGCGTGAGGAGCGAGGAGCAGTGTGAGGAGGGGAAGCAGCCTGGACCCAGCAGAGAGGCCCGAGGAGCAGCGTGAGGAGCGGCGTGAGGAGCGGCGTGAGGAGCGGGGAGGCAGTGTGAGGAGGGGAAACGGCCTGGACCCAGCAGAGAGGCCCGAGGAGCAGTGTGAGGAGCGGGGAGCAGTGTGAGGAGGGGAAGCAGCCTGGACCCAGCAGAGAGGCCCGAGGAGCAGCGTGAGGAGCGGGGAGCAGTGTGAGGAGGGGAAACGGCCTGGACCCGGCAGAGAGGCCTGAGGAGCAGCGTGAGGAGAGGAAACGGCCTGGACCCGGCAGCGAGGCCTGAGGAGCAGTGTGAGGAGCGGCGTGAGGAGCGGGGAGCAGTGTGAGGAGGGGGAAGCAGCCTGGACCCGGCAGAGAGGCCCGAGGAGCAGTGTGAGGAGCGGGGAGCAGTGTGAGGAGCGAGGAGCAGCGTGAGGAGGGGAAACGGCCTGGACCCGGCAGAGAGGCCCGAGGAGCAGCGTGAGGAGCGGCGTGAGGAGCGGGGAGCAGTGTGAGGAGCGGAAACGGCCTGGACCCGGCAGAGAGGCACGAGGAGCAGTGTGAGGAGCGGGGAGCAGTGTGAGGAGGGGGAAGCAGCCTGGACCTGGCAGAGAGGCCCAAGGAGCAGTGTGAGGAGAGGAAAGGCCTGGACCCGGCAGAGAGGCGCGGCTTTCCCACAGCCTACGTTCTGATGTAGGGCTCCAGCCAGTCACCCAGTCAATCAACAATCCAGTCACTGTGAAAGTGTCATGGGCATTACACAGAGAACTGTGTAGGATGGTGTGGAGTGACCGGCCGGCTGCTTTCGGTTGGGTAGCTAGGGAAGATGGCTTCAAAGTCACATTTAAGCCTCCTCACGTTGCTGAGAATGGGCCAGACGGATACAGCTCAGCAGAGAAGAGCTTCCCAGGCAGAGGTGCTGTTTCTGAAGATCTGAAGGTAGAAGTGGATTTGGTCTGTTTGAGCAACAGAGTGAGCCATGAGTGGGAAGCGAAGGAGACATTGGCGGAAGAGAAGGGTGAGTGACAAACCAGGGCTCTGTAAAGCGGAGGGAGGGTTAGATTGCATTCTTAGGGTGCTGGGAAGTCACTGGAGAGTTTTAAGCTGGGCAAAGCCTTGATCTGATTTATTTATTAGAAATACCCCTCTGACAGCTGGTAGAGAGTGGACTACAGGAGGGTGAGAGCAGAGGGAACAGAGAAATGACAGTGCCATCCACAGTCCCAGATGAGAAGTGTTTAGACCAGGACAGCCACAGCAGAGGCAGAGAGGAGGCCAGTTTGGATCTGTGTGGGAGGAAGGGGCGACAGCCTTGCTGAAAGGCTTGCCACGAGAGTGAAGAAAAGAGAGGAATCAAGAATGACCCCGGCTTTTGACCTGAGCAACTGAGAAAGAGGACTGAGGGAGGAGGAGGTATGAAAGGGGACAGACGTCAAGAGTTGTAAGGTCTGAAAGGGTCATTAAACTTCCCATTGGAGGTGTTGGGTCAGAGGCCACTAGATGTGTGGGCCTGAGATTCCAGAGGGACCTTATCAGTGTAGATACAGGTTAGGGAATTGTCCTCGGAGAGGTGGTATTTAAATCCTAGAAGGGGAGGGTAGACAGAGAAGAGAAGGGGTGCACACAAGCCGCTGAGTGTCGCGTAGAGGTAGGTAATGATGTGACAAAGTGGCCTCAGTGGCACGGTGGGGACAGAAGCCCCATGGGAGTGGGTTGATGAGAAAGTGGACATAGTGACTATTGACAAATCTTGGGCTAGGAGGCAGAGGGGAAATTCTGATGGCACAGGGGCATGTGCTGATGGCTGAGTGGAAGTTTCCCAGGACATCATAGCTTTAGGGCTCAGGAGCACTGTGGGTGCCAAAGTGTCCTATCCAGTTGCCCTCTACGGGATGGGTGTGCCCATCCCCTGGCTGCTTTGCATGTTGGTGGCCCATGGCTCACAGGTGCCTCCCACCCTGCTCATCCCTGGAGAGGTGCCCTTGACTGACATAGCCCCCCTGCCCAAGAAATGACAAGCTCCTCTGCCAGGAGTGACCCTCAGCCAATGACTGGCACAGGGATACAAAAGGCCACCTGCTTGCCTTAAAGAGGGCGCCTGCTTGCCTTAAAGACGGGGCGTCTCTGTGTGCTCTCCAGGATCAGGCCACGGCTAGAGTTCACCTGATATGACATCCTTCATCACTTCTTTCCCCAATCCTGTCTAGCTTTCCTTCTTTAATTTTTTTCTTGGATATTTCCACAATAAAATACCCCCCACCCCATTGCCTGGCTTAGGCTTTGCACCTAGAGAACCCATTCTAAGACTGGATGCCAGGGGACTCTAAGATTGGAACTCAGGAATTAGGTCACTCACCACTGGCTGGCAAAAGGACCCCATCATAGCGGCAGATAGAGTATTAGCAGTTGCTGGTATGTGTTAGCAGTGCAATTGCTAAGACTGTCACCTATGTAGAACTGAGGCAAGGCACAGGGAAAAGGGATATACTGGTTCATAGAACATCTTATATTTGAGAGGTTCTGAAGAAAGACTACTGATAGGAACAGTGGGATGGAGTGGCCGAATGCCCTTGAGGCTTTGAAGAGAGGAAAGGCACCACCAAGGGCAGCCAATCTCTAATTTAAAGCAAAGAAGAGTCAGCGTGCCTCCTTGGTGGCCTTAAAGAGACTCCCGTATGTAGCAGGAGGGTAGAACAAGCTGAAGACCAGACCCAGGCTTAATTGTTAGAGAAGCAGAATTCTGGAGCAGGCTGAATCTCAGGCCAGATGAGTCTCATATACCAAAGTCAGGGTGTAATAGGGAAGGACTGAGGCCCACCATCTGGGATGGGAACAGAGAGAAATGTGTTGGAAGACTTTGACCCTCCAGATTCCCCAAAACCTCTGGTTCTGCCAAAATGGCCTTTCCCCCTTTCTGGAAGACAGAAACCCCTTCTTGCTTGAAGAACACGCAGATGCTTCAAATGAAGCAGGTATTCTACAAGAAGTTCCTGACTTCCTCAGCAGCTTTCCCATCCATAGATGCCCCATTTGTCCCTTCTTATCACTTAGACCAATAAGAGAGTCAAGGCTCAGCATATTCCCCTAGGCAAGCGTTGGGTCTGCTAAGAGAGGAGAGGGATTTCTTCAGTGAGCTGAAGGATCTGACTAGTGTGTGTGGGGCACAGACAAGGGAGTGTGCTTGGGGGTGAATCCTGAGGGTGCTGGGCCAAGGGGGCCAGACTGGAAAGCCCTTCAGGGGAGAGTTTGTTAATATGGGGGCACCCACCAGTGATACGGGTTTTAATAATCTTGCTAGGGCCCCATAAGGCAATCCTTATGGCTGCTGAGTGGTTCCTAGAGGCTTGCTGAGAGTGATGGCCCACATGAAATGAAACAGATGTGTCAGAACTCCCTTGCAGATCATGGCTGAAGGGATCCAAAGGCTTAGGGAAATGGGCTAGAATGGATCCACTCTAGAATACCAGAAGACCCACCGGCTGCCTGTGCTTTTTGATTGGGCTGGACGACGCTCCATTCACCAGGGAGATAAAGGATGGTTGGTGAGAGGGTCCCAGCATGGATGAGCAGCTCAGCACAGCTGTCCTCGGGAGGCCGAGGCTGAGCTTGCTGATGCAGAGCGGGGTGTCTGCGGAAGCCTACAGAAGCTGTCATGATTTGTGGGGAATCGTGAGCAGCAGTCCTTCTGAAGCCCAGAATAAGAAAAGAAATGGCACCAGTGCCACCATGAAATATTGGGCTGAAAATCCAACTGATGTGGTTAAAAGGTAAATCCATAAAAGGTTAAAAGAAAGCAAAACAAAACATTGATTATCTTCAAGTAATATGACTATATATATACAGAAAATCTGTGAGACTCTATGGACAAACCATTGGAAATAGTAAGAGAACCAAGCAAGATTGCTGAACCCAAGGTGGAAGGAGTTCTTTATACCAGCAACAAAACAACATGTTTTAAAAGGCACCTTTATAATAGTGACGACAACAACAGAACAAGAGAAAACAATGGGCAAAATCTTTATCAGTTAAATGGCAAGATTTCATTGAGAGACAAGAGAAGGTCTAAAATCACACGGACCTCAGATTAAGACAAATGAGCATCCCTGTCTCCATGTGTCGGTCGTTTCCCCGAGGGGTGGTCCCTTGAAGGACCTGGCTTTCTGTCAGGACTGACAGTTTTGTCTTACATGGGCCTGTGTGTTTGACACCTCTCCCCAGAGGCCAAGTCCCTGCTCTTTTCTTAGAGATTGGACCCTTCCCCTCTCGCCTACCTCTCTCTCTGTCAGATCAACTGGAGCATCAACCCATGCTTAGGACTCTGGTTTCCAATTCTTTCTTCGCTTTTGGCTAAAGAAGTTATAAACTCAGCTATGCATTCAGAGGCACGCTTGCCACATCCTATCCAGCATTCTAGATTTTATGGGCAGAGGCTTTTTAGGCTATCTGGTTGACCTTGTTACCAACACTGAACACCTCCATCCTTTCTTTGTCTTTGTTCGAAGCATGCTGTTTTACTTTTCTAGATTGCATATTTGTAAAAATATTTTCCAATCTGATGGTGTCTGTTTTTCAGAGGATCATTCACATTGAGTGAACTGTTATAGTTTACACAGCATTCTACCTTATTCTGTATTTTTTATTCATTTTATTTTGTGGTTTCCCAATCATCCTTTTCCTTATTTTTGCTGGTTACTGTTTATTTTTCAGTTGTTATTTATTGCTTTTTAACCCCTTATTAAATTTGAGAGTTCAACTATCATTTTCCATTCCATTAATGATAATGTTCCATTTGTAAGTACTCAAATCCATATTTTCTTCATCACTATTAAATGATAACAAATGCCAACCTTTTCCTCTATCAAGACACTCAGTTATCTGACGGTTCTCTCCACCTTGCGCGTGGTGAAACATCAGGACATTTTTACTTCCTGACTTTTCTCTTCCCCAACTTGAATGATGCATTTGGACATTTTTACTGATGTCTCTCCATCTTAATACCCAGGTTTTGCTGAGAGAGTTTCGTACATTTATTCTAAGCTGCTATTATTAGAATTTATCTTTCAGTACATAGGTCTCTTTTATTTAAGATCCTTATTTCTTGGATTACTTATTTTCAGATGCTAATTTTCAATATATATGTACTTATAGGTATATGTAAAATATCTCTGAATGCATATAGGTACATACATATATGGATTTGCGTATATTTGTTGCTCACCACTTCCTTTTCTCCATCATCTTTTATTTGTGTTTGGATTTTTTTTGAGAGTAAAGTCTTTCTTATATAGGTTCATAGGTGCTATAATCTCTGGACCATGCATTTCTACAAGTATCATTTTTGGCTTCTGGTGTCAATAGCATGGCAGCAGCAGCAGCAGCAGGTGGTTTTTAACCCTCTTTCAAGGCATTAAGGTGAGAGGAGTCTCAGCTGACTTGCTCAGCTCTTCTTCAGCTCCCTGGAGGTCAGAGAGAACAGGCACAGTCCCGTGGGCTATTATTGTCTTCCCCTAGGGTTTACCTATCTCTGCACACTAAACTTTCTCTAGGAGCCACCAAGTGCCTCGTCTGGCCCTGGGACTTTTCCAACACATGTCCCTAAGCCAATGTGTTGCAGAGATAAAAAAATAAAAAAATTAAAAAAAAAAAAAAAAAAAGGAGCCTCAGGTTAAATCATGAAAGTAGTAGAGATTACTTATGAGGACACAGGGCAAGGGAATGGGCAGTGACTGAGAAGAGAATCCTGGGTTCACCGGTGTTTAAGGGGTAGGCAGAGAAAAGGGGGCCCAAGAAAGAGGAAGTGGTCAGTAAGGTCAAGTATAAGAGAAAGGTCACAGGATGAAAATTAAGTTCACTTTTCATAGGAACTATACATTTCAACGACTCTGTCTCATTTACCAAATAAACAGGAAGGCCAATTTTCCCAGGGTTCCTTATTCTTACATTTCTCAGACTCCTTGGAGTATTTACATGAATTCCAGAATCGATCCTGGATATCTTCAATACTTGCTGGTAGGCATG